TGGACATTTCATACTCAATTGGTTAATTGTTACACATCTCCACCTGATCCCATTTTGGTGGTGTTTAATGTGCTCATTTTAGGCAATCATGTACATAAATATAACAACTTTTCAAATATCACCTTTCATTTCCCCAATTTCAATCGGTAGCATGATGGTCCGTTTGTGTGCCTGCTGGCATTCATACAAATTGATTTCTAGTATTTGCGATCACAAGATTGATGGGGAACGCTGCCTTCGGATTTTCCATCCGATCAGTGGATCGTGACTCGTGCTTACTGGTGGATCAATCAATCTCGGAACTCGTTAGTCTCATTTGATTACTCGATCGGGCGCTATCAGCTATATCCTCCATGTGGTCAAATCGTGCCAAGCGAATGAAAGAGCTCATATTTATGGCAACTTCCTTGTTGGATAAGAAGGTTTGAACCTTCTCAGAACTAGTTCGTTTCACACCTTACCGATCTGAGCATACATCGGTTCACTCCGTTACACCTGGCTTGTGTATTCATCAAATTGCTAAAGATAAATTCATTGTGAGTTATCCTCGGTAGAATTTTAGCGCAAAACATTCCTTGTATTTTGTGTGAAAACACTCACCGTGTAATTTTTCCTAATACACGCTTTCAAACATATTGTTGAATCGGGTGCAATCATTGCGTCACAGTAACAATCCTCTAATCGATCTGCTCAAGTACTCATTCCCGTTCACAATAAATGAATATTGGTTTGGCATCGACCAAAATACACGACAAAATAAGCACAATGATCTCAAGTACGTGCTTCGTACCCATTCCTCTATCAGTTCACATTGATCGTCCAATCACATGACACGGCTTTTCATGACAGACACTGACTAATACTCATCCAATCCGTTTTTGTCTTTGCGCCAGCTTGACCTAATTGTCGGTCATCGGTTAATCGATTGATGTACTCTCACGATCATTCATCAAATCGTTAACCCGATTCCGGGCCGCACGCCGTCTATGTGTTCTGATTTTCTGCGTTGGGTTACGGGCCCTAAATTACGGTGCATAATGTGGCGTTTGGAATTCGATGTTAACAGTACGCAACACATTTTTTTCTTTCAATCCATCTCGTTTAATTGATATTCTTTTGAATCAGGATAACAAGCCAAATACTACGATCTGAACCACGGGAAGTATTTAGGATGGAGGGGCATGACCGCCACCGAAAGGCGCAAACCACATATGCAGCGGCCACTTGATGAACCGGCTCGATCCCATGTAAGCCTTGATCTTCGGCAACTCCTACAAACAAATCAAAATAAGACAGCAGTGTTAGGATGGCGATTAGAAAGAGTGAGAGTCAACTGATTTATGTTTGACTTCTCTCTCCGCATATTCCGTTACCTCAATGTGGTGCATGAATTGGACCAGATTGGTGAATTGATCAAGACAATGCATTTCCAAATGTTTGTGGACATCCAGCGCTTCGTAGAGCAAGAAATCCAAATGAGTGACCTGTGGGATAGTGGGAATGGAAAAATGGCATAGGAGTGATGATGTATTGGACACTGTTGTGCCAGATACATGTCTCCTATCAACAGCTCTGAAAAGACACGGACATTTTCATACGCCAAATAGGCTTGACAGATTCAAGATATGAATGCAAAGTTAACTACTCGAAGTCGCTCTCAGTTTGCTTGACATTTTGTTAATGAAGTGAGAAGCGTGGATGCATTCTCGATAATAATGAGAACAAAATTTAGTGCTCTCCTCGGAGTCGGATTGACGTAGGCTCCGATTGGTGATTCATTTTGCATCACAGCGTGTCATCTAGGGTTGTGAAGCCGCATCGCATTGCGAATTCAATACACAGAACCCTGATGTTTCATACTCGCCACATTAAGTCATTTTTGGTGATTGTTGACGGTCACTAGGGCGGTGATAAGCAGCTCACTGTTCAGTTGGATGTATAAACTATTGTGATGTTGATTGGGTTATATAAATATGTACTGTGCAGTTAAACCTTGGTTACATTCCTCGGACAAGCATTCTAGTACAGAGATATAAACAAGCTATAGAGTGAAAAAAATGAAACACGACAGTGCAACCTACGGGTAGGTTTTATCGACTTAATTTTGCGTCAATTTATTTACATGAGAATGCATGGTCAACGGTGCTTAGCATGCCGTATTCGGTGAATAGCCTAGGGAATATTGGGACAAATAACCGGTACATCAACAGTGAAATCTGAAAGTTATGAGAGGCAGTTCAATAAAACTTACCGAATCACCCATCAGGTATTTCCGCTCTCCTAGGAATTTGGACCACATTTGTAATATGGACGGCAAGTTCTTCAAATAGTCCACCTTTAGCTGTTCCTACATGACGATTATTGGAATATCGGCACTTCGAAACTTACAAATTGTGGACTATAAGCTATTCGACCCAAACCAAAGCGAAGATCAATCACAGCTCCTTCGATCATTGAAATTCGTGCTCTCTCTTCTGGAGTCACGCCAACTGTGCCTAATAAGATTGAACACGTCACGGGCGGAGGCATCCAACATGAACTTACTCAGTCCGTGCTTCTCTGCGATGTAGCGCAAAATGGTCAGAGATTGCGTCAATTTCACGTGATCATCAATGTAATACGGCAACTGAAACGGCACATAGTTGGTTGTTGTGAGATCAAAATAACGATTCGAATTGTACCTACATTGGGCAACTCCAGTCCCAAGTTGAACTTCTCACTGTGCCATTTCTCCTTATCGCCCTCGTCGTAGAGAACCTCCTCGTACGGTTCACCCACAAATTCCAGCAACAAACGAATTGGCTGGGCGAGCTGACCATTGATAGTTTGAAGTGGTCATATGATATGGGAGTGTGCGAGGGAGGACAGGAATAGAATGAGTGAAATTGTACACGGTAACAAAACGAAGGGCATCGAACGGAGTCAAAATAACCGGTCATGTGCGTGTGAAACAAACATTCAACAACCGAGATTAAATGTGAGATGCGAGAGCTGCTGTACAGATTCACCATTTGTTGATTTGGCAAAGACTTTCGACTGCAAGTCGTTTATCTATCGAAAAGCTGATGGTTTTGGTTGATNTTGATAGCAAGACCGATATTTAATTATTCTGAATGATGGTGTTTACTTTCTTATCGAATGTTTCGCTGCAAGTGGGAAGGAGAAAACCCGCAACTCTGAGCTGGTTCCAGAAAATCTCAAAATCGATATGTATGGATCTATTTTTCGAGGGTTTGGTCAAATTTCGGAACGAGGTGTATGGGAAAGGGGCAATGGTTAGTAAACATAAATAGTCGAGTATAACTATTGATCGAATTCACCATTTCCTACCGGTTGGTTAGACTTCAGTCAATAAATGACGGTGAACCAAGAAGCTCCTCTCTAAAAATGTTTATGCCGTTGGATTATGACGACATCCCAAAGGTCAAAAGATATAGCTATTCTAGAAACTGTTAAAATAGCAAAGTTTGCCTTCGAAGTCTTCCAGTATCTCTCTAGAACATTTTTTCGCTTATTAGCTACTTACCGAGGGTAATCGATAAAAACAAAAAAACATCTATTAAACATATGGTGGAAATTTCAAACCAAATGAAGATCCGACCGATCCATTTCCCTCTCACATCACAGTGAACCCAGTCTACTGTAAATCATGACCTAGGTCCATGATCAAAATTCACTGCTATAAGGACTTTCGACTTCTATACCGTGTGAACCACAACGAATATGTTTGTGATCTACTGAAGTTGAGGAAACTGAGCAGGGTATAATGCCTTGACAAGTTAAACATAANTCCATGATCAAAATTCACTGCTATAAGGACTTTCGACATCTATACCGTGTGAACCACAACGAACATGCATGTGATCTACTGAAGTTGAGGAAACTGAGCAGGGTATAATGCCTTGACAAGTTAAACATAAATAAATTACTAACAGCAATTTTGACTGCGAAATCCGCATGAAAGCGATTGAATCAATCACAAGAATGAATTACGCTCATCCAAACTCACGCCTCTAATCTTCCAATATCCGAGCTTGGCTACCATCGTGTGCGGTCTGCAAACTGGCTCTATCAGTGTTATCTAAGTGCATTATATATGCGCAGTCTGAGACGGGGGTGTCAGATATGTTTCTAGCTCAGTGAACGCGGAACATACATGACCCTTATTGGACAACGAGTGCGGCCTTGAGAGATGTGGATTGGCCAACCACTGCCACTTAGCCACACAAACCGCTGTTGAAAGACCTGAACACTCTGTAAAAACAGGTTTTTTTTCAAGTTAGATTCCAGGGTCGCAGTAGGCCCACAGTTTACGCCTTTCGAATTCACGATCGTTTTTCGTACTTTATTCGTGAGTGCATCCCCTCGATCGACTCAACAGTATGTTCCCAAAATTTCCGAACTGATTGACTGTCCATTCTGGAAAGGTGTTTGCAAATACAGTCAACAAAGAGCGAGTCCTACTGTGAATAATAATATTCATGCAGCCCTTAGTCGACCATACACCTTCATCGCATTAAGTGAAACTGTACAATAAAAGTTGTGTTCTGTTATCTATTCATTCTGCGTTCGGCCGTCACCTACATGACCTTGTGTTTGTCGCTTGAATGCTTCGCTTTTTCCATCTGGACATTGTGATGAGTCCTCATCTGTCAGGTTCCGCTTTCTAATCGATCATCGTTCTCGTGGAACAGGTTACGGTACAATCATTGTGATTCGTTAAACTGTGATAGCTGGAATTGCTACCAAAAGACAGCAACCAAAACCGGCTCACGAAAGTGCATGGTTAATGGTTGTAAAACTGAAACTGACTTTCCTCAATGCGTTCACACATCTGTATTGTGTTGCATTGCGATTATAACTTCTGTACATCTGTAACAATCTCAAGCGAACAGTTGTTCTCAATAACTCATCAGCATGCCGTTACATTTTATATTTAAAACGATTAAATCCGGGGTTTGGAGAATAACAATAAAATGTATGCAGTCAATCACTTTTTGCTTGTTTTTTGCACACCACATTCTCAGGTGAGTTCTTCCGGTGTTTTCAGTTACCTCACTTTGGTCGTTTGACCCAGTTCTAAGGAATCGGTGTAATTGTGTGAACATGCATGTGTGTGGGCAGGGGGAAGGTTGGCTTCGTGAACCCAGAGGGGATGAACATCTTTGACTCTAGACTCTTCGATGCGCATAGATCGGAGATCAAGTGCTCAATACATATGTCCTCGGCTATCGCTAACTTTCGGGGGAACCCGAGAAATAATGCGGAATGATTCATTTGGGTTAACACGATGGCCCGTGTCTTGCAAGTGTGCGAGAATCACACATGTAATAGATCCCGAACCAAGTCGACTCAGCCAGCGCGGATGGTGTTCTTTCACGCGGATAGATCACTGTCGTGCCGTACGACCGACCTAGAAAGCATCACAAACAAATCTGAACGAATAAACAATCGTTGAAGCGATTAAAATCCGTAGCTTGTCTTTATTCCGTATGGTTATCAGTGGTGAATTTTTGAAAGAGCAGAGTAGGTGCTCGGCGCTGATTGGGGCTTTTACCGCTCCATTCAGTCATCTTATGAGGATTTCAGCGGCAACTTTGCCCTTGAAGGACAGACTAAGGAACAATTCCTTCTTTTCCACCCTATCACTGTGTACTTTCGATACCTGTTTCATTATATTTCGTTGACTGAAGCAGTCTGTGCACTTTGAAGGTAAACATGAGTGCATCTTCCAATACTTATTGTGATGAGATTCTTCGAGCTCTAGATAACAAACATTTTTTCATGTTCGTCTTTAGCTTATTCGGCACTTAACCGTGAAAATTCGTGTCTTCATGTTTTCTTATGGTGTACACGGCATTCTATAGATTCATTTCGTCTTCTAATGAGGAGTATATCTGGAAACTATATTCGATCATCTGCTTCTCTCTCCTCTGTAAATTGTATGGCCTTGTGTGCGGACTTCAGCTTTTCTAGCAGTTCGTCTAGTTTTCAGTTTGAATCAGCTATGCAAACTGTCATCCACAAATCAACTTCCGACTTTTAAAAGACGGTGTCGCGACAGTCGATTCCTTCCTCTGGATTCCATATTCGCTACCCTTTTGAACTCCGTACCTGCAAAGGAAGGTTATCCAAAAATGACAAGCATAGAATTCCTAGCGCTAGCATTAAACACCATAGATTTTTGGATAGAGCCGCATACAGTATATCAGAGTCGACATGCCCACCGTGAACTGCCTTGATCTGTGACAACCAACCAGAACATCTATAGGTGAACTCAGGTGACTGGCTAGAACCGCCAACCAATCAACATGGCTGACAGGAGTTCAGTCAACCAATCGTTGAATGAATGCACTCCCCTCTAGTCGCTTTTTCCTATAAAAGAATATGAGAACATAAATTTCTACACGCTTTCAGCTGTGGAGTTCCTATCCGAAAGAGAAACGTTACTGGAAGACGATCCCTTGAGAATCCAGTATTAAGAAGATTCTGTGAGGTTAGAACACAGAATACATTTGGTTGCCTGTTAATTTCGTCAGCAGTGACCAGGGAAAGTTATTCCACTCAGCCATCGATATGCGCGTGAAGAATTCGAATCCGTGGTTGAACCGGACCCTATACTTACCCCGTGTACCATTCCAGTTCGTTTACTTATCCATTTTTAGTTTCAATCGCATAGCAGCAATACTTTGATCCACTTCTGCGTGCGCGATGTGTGAAATTTTGTACAATGAGCAAAATATCCGTAATGTTACACGATGATCCGTTGCTGAAAGGTTACTCAAAGCCCGATTGAAGAATAGTTTATCATATATAAAGTACTTCAATGGATAAAATGAACTATATTGTTGATTGATAGACGATAAAACTAAATATATACCGATCATTAGGTTCATATTGCGTACGTGGGTATATTTTTTTGGCGAAGTTGCACCCGTTATGCCGCCTAACTAGATTTTGCGATAAAAGATTACCTACTCGTGAGTAGTATACTTAAATTCCTAAATAAAAGGTCTACGTGATTATTATTGTTTGATAATCTATACAAATCTAATAAAAATGCACGTAATTACAATATCAAAAATAAAAGGAAATGAGTGTGCCCATGGATAGCAATCATTTTGGATACTTTAGTTTTTACAGCTGAACGCGCTACAGGTTCTTTCGTTACGAACTACACCAGTAATTCAATTCGCAAAATATTCCCATTAATGAATAAGAACAAAGCCAAAACGCGAAGAACCTTTCGATATCACGCTTCAGGCATTTACATATATAGTCAGTAGATTATGGCTACCCTGTTCGCACATCGGGACGGCTGACCGTCCCATTTGAGTCCCATTCGAGACCCATGTGGACTCCTCCGTTAACCACCGTCCCATTGGAGTCCTTTTTGAGTCCCGTCGGGACTGTACATACTTAATTTTCCGTAAAACGAAAGATGAACCTAATCAATTACTAGACTGATAAATTAAATAATAAAAACCATTAAAATTGTGTATTTCAATGCCGGTTAAATCAGCTCGCTGTTTCTTTAAATGAACTAATTTCACATGCGTATGTTCAGCGGCGCTCGCCATCATTCGCCATGTCAGATTTCAATCCCCGTGGTTATTCTAGGTGGTCAATATGAAAACGTGGTAAATCAAATTTACCCTCAACGTTTTCATTGGGCATTGAACAAGAGATTGCAGAATGTGGATATGCATCACCCGTAAATCATCCCGGTTAATTTTATGGGCACTAATTATCATTTCGCGCGTCAACCAATTGGTTTCCCATGAAGACGCTTCAATGTCTATGAAAACTAGTAATTGTGAAGTGCAGTATGCGAGAGTCTGATGACTGTAAGTTTATTTTTTATCAGGTATAAAAATGTTTTTCCGCTTTCATAGTTGCGGCTGAAGTGCATATGAGTTATCTACAGTTTACCATCTGTAAATTCCACGGACGTATGTCGGCGAATAGCCATAAAAGGCTTAGCGGAAGCACTACGATTCATGTTTCCAGCTTCCACACTTGCAGACTTAGAGACGCTGGAAGGTAAAATGAGAGATCCCGAGGTATATATAGGAACATGATATGTTCCTTTTGGCTTTATATTTGAAGTTTAATTCAGTTTAATTTAATAGATGATGTATTTATTGAACGTAGGCGAAAGCACAGCCGCTGAATACATTCGATACACCATGGTGCATTGGGATTTCAGTCCAAATATAGGTTGGAACGGCACTAACAACAAATATGCAATGCGATCCACATATATTACGAAGTTGGTTGTCGGTATGCGTACTGTATTATCTGTGTACAAATATGTAGATTGCATTATGAAAAAGAACTTCCCTGGTGAAATTCACGTTAAAGTACGTGAACGAATACAAAGATGGATTCAAAAGGCCAGGGAAAAGAACAAATAAAACCAGCCAGAAGAATTATCTGATACCACTGAATATAACTTGCACAGCTTTCCTATCAATTATACATTTAATGTGCCCCCTGTGTTACTTCTATTTAAATAGGGGTTTTGGGTTGAAAACTTCATACGTAGTGTACTGGACTGTCGTCCAGTNCTGAGTGACTCGTAGATACGAACCCCAAGTCCGATTCCAGATAACGAGAAGTCGGTAATCTACGTGTACTATAAGCAGACAAATATGTACAAAAACAAACACTATACCTCAAATTGCGGGCCAATCAGGTCTCTACTATACAAGAACGAAATACAATGCAGGTCAAGGCGTAGAACAAAGAACCTGCGGAACGGTCACCAAAAGGAATGCAAACTCGGCTTAGAAAAGGGACGATTTAAGTGACAGAAACACCAATCGCAAGTACCCGATAAAGAAGTGCAGTCATTGGTCAATGCAAGACACACAAACGGTTCACGGGATCCTATGAAACAAAGCAGTCCGCTAAGCAAGTGAGGCGAATGACCAAATATGAAGGTCAACATAAAGAGGATGGGATGAAAATGTACTACAACGAAAGCGTGGGTGGGGGAACGGATCCGGGGTAGTTCGTATGTAATGACGCCCGAGAATGGCA